TTTTTTTGGTTTTTCGAGACAGGGTTTCTCTATGGCTTTGGAGCCTGTCCTGGAACTAGTTCTTGTAGACCAGGCTGGTCTCGAACTCACAGAGATCCGCCTGCCTCTGCCTCCCGAGTGCTGGGATTAAAGGCGTGCGCCACCATCGCCCGGCCTAAGCTTGAGGCTTTAAACACCGCTTATATCCTGACTCCCAAAGCCAGTTACAAGTCATGTTCTTGTCTACATGTCTGATCTAAGAATTTCCAATCTCCCTGTCCTCTGTTGCAAATCTGTATTTTGATACTAAAGTACACACTGCAGAGCCTATATCCTGACCTCCAGCTGGTAAGTCTCAAACTCAGGAACACAGCTGAGGTGTTTATTAACACATCTAAGTGGATACTGGCCACCAGGTTCTCCGTGCATTCTAGTCCCTGCCTGTTACAGGGGCCTCCTGACTGGTATGCCTGCTGTTGTGGGATAATACTCTTGTACCTGTAAAGATTTGTCACTCTTATTGGTTTAATAAAATGCTGATTGGCCTGTAGCCAGGCAGAAAGTATAGGCAGGGCATCCAGAGTAGAATTCTGGGAAGAGGAAAGCCCCAGTCTTCAGTTGCCACCCAGATGCAGAGGAAGAAGATGAACATGTTGCACTGAAAAAAGTACCAAGTTACATGGTGGCTAAACATAGACAAGAATTATGGGTTAATTTAACTTGTAGGAGTTAATAATAGGTCGGGTGGTGGTGGTGCAGCCTTTAATCCCAGCACTCAGGAGGCAGAGGCAGGTGAATCTTCGTGAGTTCAAGACCAGTCTGGCCTACAAGAGCTAGTTCCAGGACAGTCTCCAAAGCTACAGAGAAACCCTGTCTAAAAAAAAAAGAGTTAATAATAAGCCTGAGCTGATAGGCCAAACAGTTTATAATTAACATAAGCCTCTGTGTATTTCTTTAGGACTGAATGGCTGTGGAACCGGGTGGGACACAGACTTTCTTCTACACCCTGCCTCCGACCCCAAACTTCTCCCAAGTGCTCTTCCCTATATAATTCAACCATTTTGGTTACCTGGCCTTTTCATCTGCTCTGCAGAGCCCCCTGACTGCTGTACCTGGTTTCCCCCTCCCCTCTCCTTGTAAGGTTCAGGGTCACATCTACAATAGACTCTCCCAGATGTTCCTGCCTTTGACTGGTCTCTTCCTTTTGTTGTAGGAGTTGCGGGCTGTGTTCCTGCCACCCCAGCTCCTGGTCGCCTGGCTAGCTTTAAACCTGAAATAACAACACGCAAATTGTATTCTTTTAAACACTGCTTAGCCCATTAGCTCTAGCCCTTACTGGCTAATTCTGATATCCCGATCAACCCATCTCTAATAATCTGTGTAGCATCAGTCTTACCAGGAAAGATTCAGCATGTCTGACCTGGCAGCTTGCTTCATGGCATCTGCCAGGGGAGAAGGGAGCATGGCCTCTGAGCTCACTTCCTCTTCCTCCCAGCATTCTGTTCTGTTTACTCCTCCCACCTATGTTTTAACCTATGCGGCCAAGCAGTTTCTTTATTACTTAACCAATGACCTTCCTCCACCATACCTAGGAGCAGTCATGTTCAGCTCCTTTCTTTTTTTCTTTTTTTCATTCACCACCCTAATGTGGGATGTCTCTCTGTATGCTGTGAATATGTTTTATTACCATTGGTTAAGAAAGAAGCTAATTTGACCAATACCAAGCAGAATAGAGCCATACAGGAAATCCAAGCAAAGATAAAGGGAAAAGAAGGTGGAGTCAGAGAGATGCCAACAGCCAGAGAAGTGGGATATGAGATAATAAGCCACGGGCCTTCTGGTAAAATATAGAATAATAGAAATGGAGCCGGGCAGTGGTGGCACACGCCTTTAATCCCAGCACTCGGGAGGCAGAGGCAGGCCGATCTCTGTGAGTTCGAGGCCAGCCTGGTCTACAAGAGCTAGTTCCAGGACAGGAACCAAAAGCTACAGAGAAACCCTGTCTCGAAAAATCAAAAAAAAAAAAAAAAGAATAATAGAAATGGGTTAATTTAAGTTTTAAGAGCTAGTTAATAATAAGCCTGAGCTAATAGATCAAACAGTTTGTAATTAATATTAAGCCTCAGAGTGGTTATTCAGGAACTGGCAGACGAGGGAGAAACCTCCAGTTACACCACCTGAAAACACATCAGAAGCCTCCTAGCCTTGCAGTTTGGGGGGCTATAAATAAACCATTTCTCCTGTTTCTAGAGCTGTTCTCTCAAACCCCGCTTTAGGGAGTAGCTATGTGTGACAGGAAGTAAAGATTGCTCATTCAGCCAAAAAAGGTGGGTAATGGTCTCAACTCTCATCCGGTGGGATTAACAAGGACCCCTGTCCACCCATCACCCAAGGCAAGTCACCTTTGTCCCTTCTCAAGTCATGGCTTCTGGTTTTCAAATAAATCTCATCTCAAAAGATCTTTTAGGGGCTGGAGAGATGGCTCAGTGGTTAAGAACACTGACTGCCCTTCCAGAGGACCCGGGTTCAATTCCCAGCACCTTCATGGCAGCTCACAACTGTCTGAAAATCCAGTTCCAGGGGATCTGACACCTTCACACCAATGCACATAAAATAAAGTTAAATAAACCATAATAGATCTTTTAGCCTAGCATGGTGGTACACACCTTTAAACCAGCACTTGGGAGGCAGAGGCTAGAGGATCTCTGTGAGTTCAAGTCCTGCCTGCTCTACATAGTAAGTTACAGTCAACCAGGAATATACAGTGAGACCTTGTCTCAAAACAAAAGAGAAAGAGAGTGAAGAAGAAATAAGCTTCCTTGGCCACCCTAATTATATCTCTCCCATAGTTTATCACAATTTATAATTAATAAATTATAATTTTGTATATGTTCTGATTGTTTCTCTACAGTCCCAAGAGAGGTGTGGGCATCCATCATGACTCAAACAGTTTATCTCTAATGCCCAGTAACGACTGATTTCTCACACGGAGAACAGGTTCTAAGGCCTGTATACAGGGTGACAATGAGAATCACATTTTTGAAACTCTGAGAAGTATCAAGTTGGAAACTGACAGACCCATTCACTCTCTTCCAGGCAAAACACCCACCAAAGTAGGCTTGTGTTTAGAGAACACATGCAAGGAAAATACAATTCACTTGCAAGGACAGACAGGGCCAGTCACTGAAGGGAAGACCAATATTCCCACCCCATTCTCTCAAAGCACACACAAAGGAATTGCTTGTTGGAATGCAAGCAAGGGGCCACTGATCTAAATACACACAATCCATATTTGGCAGGGTGGTGTTGTCCAGACAGAGTTTCTCTGTCCTATGGAACTTGCTTCGTAGTCCAGGCTGGCTTTGAACTCACAGAGATCACCACAACTGGCTGAACACATACTATACATATTGCATGCTACCTTAGGCTGGGAGTTAATATTGACTGTACCCCCATTTGTATCAGATGGAAGTACAGAGAGAATGTACAAACCCTGAGGAGCCCCACACCAGAATGCAAAAAGGTGACCGTGAAGATGTGTCTTTGCCAAGGTGCCTTCCGATTGGTTTACTAAAAGAGCTGACTGACCAGTAGTCAGGCAGGAGATGTAGGCAGGACAGCCAGACAGGATGCTGGGAGGAAGAAGGGCAGAATCTCAGGAGACACAGAGAGAAGCAAGATGAACATGCTGTGTTGAAAGAAGGTACAGACCCATGGCAGAAGGTAGATAAGATGTATGGGTTAATTTAAAATGTAAGAGTTAGCTAGTAACCAGCCTGAACTATTGGCCGAGGATTTATAATGAGTCTCTGAATGGTTATTTGGGAGCAGCTGCTAAGACACAGAGACACTTCACCTATAATGCACCTCTGTAGGAATTTTATTCATTCCTGGGACATGGTCTGTAGGGAAGAGGTTACTCGCTCTTCTTGGCAGGAATGGACTCTGCACTGCCAGGGTCATTCTCTGAATCGTCTTTAGGTCTGGGCACAGGCTGGAACGTCTCTGAATCGTCTTTAGGTCTGGGCACAGGCTGGAACATCTCTGAATCGTCTTTAGGTCTGGGCACAGGCTGGAACGTTTCTGAATTGTCTTTAGGTCTGGGCACAGGCTGGAACTTGAGTAGGACAGGCGGAGTAAAGATGGAAGCTTTCACAACAGGCGATGGAGCCTCGTTGGTACTGGAGGGCTCACTACAGGATGCTGCTGCCCTGCATGGGAGACGGCCAATAATGCCCATGAAGTAGGAAACTAGCCCAGAGGGCTCCCACACATACACGCAATAACATCACGGCTACAAGGTGTCTCCCAAGATATTTTTTCTTCCAGAAACCTCTCCCGTGGACTCTGTTCAGTGTTGTGCGTATAAGCACTGTTTGTGATTGTAGAAAACCCGAAACACATCTAAATCCTGTGAAGGACAAGGTGTCCTTCACACTGCAAACCAGGCTGTCCTGCTGCTGTTTAAAGGAGTGAACATGTCCCAGTGGCCATATTGTTTTGTTTTGGGGGACTGGGTAGCTTCAAACTATGTGTCCCAGACTGGTCTTGAACTTGCAGCAATCCTCCTGCCTCAGCCTCCCAGGGGCTGCCTGCTCATCCTTTCAACCCCCTTTGATCAGATCCACTGCTCCCTAACACTTCCACTTGGGCACCATTTTGTGAATAGAATACATGTTTGTAGCAATTTCCTCTAGATTGAAACATTTCCTCCTGGATAGACTCTCAGGCTGGAGAAGGAAGCCCAGCACCACTTCCATGGGGCCTCATCACATCAGGGGGAGCTTTCCAATGGCACCACTGACTTGGGTGGCTCTCACTCCTAAAGGAACAACCGTAAATGCAAGTTCACCAAGCTAAATGTGGGTAGAATCATTTCTTCAATCTTCCTCAGCACGTTATCTGAGAGGAACAGGAATTTGCTCACACACCATCCCAGAAAAGTCATACAACTGTTTCTGCATAATTCGAATAGCCATACAATATTCCATAACATGAATGCATATTTTATAATATATTGCTTATATATAAATATATATTTATTTATGTAGTTTATTTATAATAGCCCTCATAGCCTTGGTTGGCCTGGATTCCTAGAACTTTTATTCTCGAGCAGGCTGATGACAAACTTCTAGCAGTATTTCTGCCTGTCCCTCAAGAGTGCTGGAATTAAGACAAGAATTATCATGCCTAGGTTCATATTTCTCTCTGTAGTTTTTTTTTTTTTTTTTTGGTTGTGGTGGTAGTAGTTTTTGTTTTGGTTTGGATTTTGGTTACTGTTTTGGTTTGCTTTTAAGACAAGGTCTCACTGTGTTACCCTGGCTGACTTGAAAATCACCATGTAGAACCCAGGCTGGCTTCAAACTTAGAGATCTGTCTGCCACTGATGCCCCAGAGCTAGGGTTAAAGGTGTCTGCTGCTATGCTCAGCCGCATTTCCTCTTTTTTGTTTGTTTTTCGAGACAGGGTTTCTCTGTAGCTTTGGTGCCTGTCCTGGAACTAGCTCTAGATGAGGTTGGCCTTAAACTCACAGAGATCCACCTGCCTCTGCCTCAGAGTTTAAGAGCACTGGCTGCTCTTCCAGAGGACCTGAATTCAATTCCCAGCAACCATGTGGTAGCTCACAACCATCCATACTTGGGAGGCAGGAGGCAGGTGAATCTCTGTAAGTTCAAGGCCAGCCTAGTCTACAAAGTAAGTTCTGTTCCAGGACAGCCAAAGATACACAGAGAAACCTTGTCTTGAAAAACCAAAAATAAATAAACAAATCAATAAATCATTTTTTAATCAATGGAGGAAAACACCAAGAACCCTAATGCTTAGACAAACAAGAGCTAGAGGGTTGGAGAGACAGTTCAGAGGTTAAGAGCACTGGCTCCTCTTTCAGGGGATCCGGGTTCAATTCCCAGCACCCATATGGCAGCTCACAACTGTCTGTAACTCCAGTCCCAGGAAATCTGGCACCTTTACACCTACGCATATGAAATAAAGTTAAATAAATTATTTTTTTAAAAGAGCACTGGCTGCCTTCCAGAGGTCCTGAGTTCAATTCTCAGCACCCACATGGTGGCCCACAACCATCTATAATACAATCTGGTGCCTTCTTTTGCCATGCAAGCATACATGCAGACAGAACACTATATATGTAGTAAATAAATAAATCTTTAAAAGGAAGGGGGGGTTAGAGAGATGGCTCATCAGTTAAGAGCACTGGCTGCTACTCCAGAGGGCCTAGGTTCAATTCCCAGCCCTACATGGTAGCTCACAGCTGTTTGTAACTCCTGTTCCAGGTAATCCAACACCCTCACACATACATGCAGGTGAAACACCAATGAACATAAGATACAAATCAACAAACTTTAAAAAACAATTAGAACTAGGCAAAGAAACCAAATGCACATTTCCCAAATGCATACAAATCAGCTGTAAGTTCAGGGAAATGATTGAACATCATTGGTCATCACGAAAAGTCAATCAGAACCACAATGAGATCTGCTCACACCCACTGGGGCAGCAAGGTAAAGAGATGCTGCTTCTGAGGCAGCTACGACGGAGATGGAGATGGCGAGACTACTTAAGCCTAGATGGTCAAGATTACCAGGGCAACACAGGGTGACCACCATCTCAAATCTGTTTTATATTTTATTGCAGGGATTTATTGTAATTTGCATGTACTACACTGCACTTGGAGAGGCTGGAGGACAGCTTGGAGGTCTCTCCTTCCACCATGGGAATCAAACTCAGGTCCTCAGGCTTGGTGGCAAGCAACTGTCCTCACTCGGCCCTCTCACCCCCCCCCCATTTTATTTATTTAAATATGGCTATAAATTTACCTAAGTGGGAGAACAAGCACTGGCCTAGTAGACCCTAAGCCTGATCCCCAGTGCAAAAGTTAGAAAAAGATGGGCGTGGTGCCACACCCCTTGGACAGCAGCATCCGAGAGGTGGGTCTCTGAATTCAAGGCCCACATGATTGACTTACTGAGTTCCAGGCTACCAGAGAAAAATTGACCCTGTCTCAAAGAAAACAGCAAAAACAAAACAAAACAATGAAAAAGCCATGCTAAGGGTGGTGGTACAGACTGACAACCCCAGCACTTGGAGGCAGGGTCAGAAGGAATGACAATTTGAGTCCAGTCCGGTCTACCTAGCAAATTTCAGGCCAGCCAGGGCTACACAGCAAGGCCTTGTCTCAAAAGAAAGGAAAGGAAGAAAGAAAAAAAGAAAGAGAGAAAGAGAGAAAGAGAGGAAGAAAGGAAGGAAGGAAGGAAGGAAGGAAGGAAGGAAGAAAGAAAGAAAGAAAGAAAGAAAGAAAGAAAGAAAGAAAGAAAGAAAGAAAGGGAAAAAGCTGGGCAGTGGCGTCAAACACCTTTAATTCCAGCACTTGGGAGGCAGAGGCAGGCAGATCCTGAGTTCAAGGCCAGCCTGGTCTACAGAGTCAGTTCTAGGACACCCAGGGCTACACAAAGAAACCCTGACTTGATAAAACAAAACAAGATGACAAGAGCTAGATAGTAAGTATCGCCAGGGTCAGCAAGCAGGGAAAAGCACTTTTCTTCTAAACCTGTTTAATTCTGAGCTCACCCATGACAAGGAGACAGCCAGCTCCTTGCAAGCTGTCCTGACTCTCACATGCATGCCACAGTGACACTATGGTGCACACACACACACACAAATAAATACATGTGAATGTCTGAATGGTAATAAGTGTCCCTAGCTTATGGTAAAAATGAACCCTCGGTGTATCACTAGTGAGACTGTATGAGGCTACTTGTATAGTCTGGCACTTTCTCAAAACAGTAGGATCCTGGATGTAGGTCAGTGTAGAGTACTTGCCGAGCATGTATGAGGTCCTGGGCTCCATCACCAACACTGTAAAAAATGTATAGACATGTGTATATATACATATGTATATAATGTACATAATATGTTATATATACATTAAATTTACCATATGATCTAGATGTCTACTCAAGAAAAGCAAAAACTGTGACCTCGCTAAAATTTTTCCCAAATCTTTCATCATGTTGTTATTCCTAGTAGTCAAAAGTCTGAACTCAGATCCTTATAGCTGATACACAAATACACAAGCAGGAGCTGGGGAGTCTTTCAGTCGGTAAAATGCTTGCTGGGCAAGCATGGGGACTGGAGTTCTTATCCCCAGCACCCAAGGGCTGGGCACAGCAGTGTACATGTAACACTTCCCAGGTTCACAACCAGTCAAGCAAGGCCCAGGTTCGGTGAGAGACCTTATCTTAAAAACAAATGAAAGGTCTAGAGAGAAGGCTTAGTGCCCTTGCAGAGGGCCAGGGTTTGGTTTCCAGCACCTGCATGGTGGCTTACAACCATCTATAACTAATTCCTGGGCTCCAACATCCTCTTCTGACTTCCTGGGACACCAGGCACACACATGGGGCACAGACTCACATGCAGGCCAACACTTATATTCACAAAATAAAAATCATTTAAAAGGAAAATGTGAATCGTGATCAAGAAATCCGACTGCCACCTCTATCCTCCACATGCACACACAACATGCACACAAAAATAATAATAATACAAAGGACTATTACTGAACCAGGAAACAGGAGAGAAGCACTGCGGGCAGGATGCATGGACTTTGAAAACATGACCATAAGTCAGACAGACACAAAAGGCCACATTCTGAGGCCAGAGTAAGTGATTCATAAGGATGGGAAGTAGGGTAGTGCTGGGAGCGGCAGCTAAGGAATGCTCCAAGTTTTATCTACTTTCTTGTTGGTTTTTGGTTTTTTAGACGGGTTCTATCTATGTAGCCCTGGCTGTCCTGGAACTATGTAGACTAAGCTGCCTCCACATTCACAGAGATCCGGCTGTGTCTGCTTCCTGACTGCTGGGACTAAAGCTGTGTGGCACCGCACATGGCTTCAATTTGATTTATTTTTGAAACGAAGTCTCCCTCTGTAGCTCAGGCTAGCTTTAGCTTCGGCTAGTTTTGAACTCACAGCAATCTACCTGCCTCGGCCTCCCAAGTGTGCCGGAATTACAGATGTGAACTGGTGAGCTCTTTCTTTCTTTTTTCCTTTTTTGGTTTTTTGAGATAGGGTTTTTCTGTGTAGCCTGGGAGCCTGTCCTGGAACTTGCTCTATAGACCAGGCTGACCTCGAATGCCTGCCTCTGTCTCCTGGGTGCAGGGATTAAAAGCATGAACCACCACTGCCCAGCTGTCTACTGTCTTTTCAATCACCAACAGGGTCTCTTCACTGAACCTGGAGCTCTCTGGTTCAACTATACATGGGCAGCCGTCTGCCTGGATCTTCCTACCTCCACCCCAGCACTGAGATTACAGATGTGTGCCACTATGTGCTTTTATGTCTGTCTTCCAAGTCCCCGAATCTCTTTTAGAATGATGGGGATCCATGCATGTCTGGCACACGCTCTACCACTGAGTACATACCACCAGAACACTTTGAACCATTTTCATCATACAGTTGAGAGGTATCACATACAGAAGCACTGCAACTCTTTCTAGAATGTCACTCAAAGCAGAAACTCTGTATCTACCCATAAGTAGTAACTTCTTACCTCCCTCTCCAAGCCCCCTCCAAACCACTACTTCTGAATTAACCCAGTCAAGATATGTCTAGTCATATAGTATTTTCTTTTTCTCTCCTTTGGGTTTTTCTGTATATCTCTGACTGTCCTTGTAGACCAGGCTGGCCTTGAACTCACAGAGATCCTCCCACCTCTGCCTCCCAAGTGGTGGGATTAAAGGAGTGCGCCACCACCGCCAGCTTAGTATTTTTCCTCGTGTATCTGATCCTTCACTCCATGGACTTCCACAGTTTGTCCCGGGATTGTAGTATGGTTGATAATCCTCTATGGAATGAGTACAGAACGTTTTGTTGACTCATCTCGGACTCAGAGAGCTCATTTCCAGGGGTGTATGTTGTGAATGATGGCGTGAGGACACAGCCATGGAAGTCCTGATTCAGTCCCTGTCCTCAGGCCTTCTGAGGACGCACAAGTGGAATTAGTGAGCTATGGAAATGCTTAACATCCGAGGAACTGCCAAGCCGATTCTCACAAGTGGATCTACTATTTTACATTGCCACCCATGTTAGGCTTTTTGTACCATGACAAAAACCTGAGAGAAATTATTCAAAGGGGAAAATTTGCCCTTAATCTTAGCACTTGGGAGGCGGAGGCAGGCAGAGCTCTGTGAATTCCAGGCGAGCCAGAGCTACCTAATGAGACCCTATCTCAAAATAAAAGGGGGAAGCTTATTTTGACTAATAATTTTAGAGGCTTTAGTTCATAATATGTTAATTTCATGACTTTTAGACTCAGGGCAAAGCAGAAACATTATAGCACAAGGAAATTGGAGAAAAACCTGTTCACTTCATCCAGGAAGCTAACGAGAGCTAGGCATAGGGACGTGTCCCTGAGACCCTCTGCCTCCATGTAGACCTTATCTTCCAGTGTCTCTACTTTCCAACAGTCACTCCTGCAAGTCACTGACTAGAGCCCTCAAGTACCAGTCCCCTATAGAAACCCCGTCCCAGACAATCCCAGATGCATGTTTTCCTAGTCTAGGTATCTCAGTTCCAAGAAGTCGACAGATCAACCATGCGAGCAAAGCCCAGTGGAGCTCACCTCTAACTCCACTATTAAGGAGGTTGAGATGGAAGATGATGAATTCAAGTAAGCTCAGTCTAGACAGTACGTAAGCTCTGACTGACTATCCCAACCAGCTTTGACCTTAACGTGTCATTTTTGCTTAACTGCAGCTCCTAAGCTGATGGAATGGGTAACTTCATTGTAGTTTTAAAAAATGTTTTCTAATGACAGACGATGCTGACCAATTTTTTCCCTGGCCATTTATAAATAAATACTGTACCAATGATCTGCAAATATGTTCTCCCTTGGTAAAGAAATGATTTATAGAATTGCCATAACGTGCTTCTGTCCCTCCCCCCACTTCCTTTCCCTCTCCCCTTTCTCTCTCCCCTTGCTTCACTTTCTGTGGACAGGTAACACATATGCTACCACCATCCTTATCATCGTCTAAGATGCTAAAAGTCCACTGAATACCCAAGTATGGCCACACATACTTTTAATCCCAAGCACTTGGGAGGCAGAGGCAGGCCGACCTCTATGAGTTCTGGGACAGCCTGGTCTACATCGCAAGTATCAGGCCAGCCAGAGCTACATAGTGAAGCTGCCATCTCCAAAAACAAATAAATCCATATAATTGAATCCCCTCCCCAGAACAAGCCTTGATTTTTATCACTTTTAAAAGTCACATTTACTTCATTTTCTGACTCTGTGCTTGTGCCTTTACCATGCTCACGATTTTCTGCTCCTCTGTAAAGAAAGCACGCTTAGTCCTGCCTCAGACAGAGCACACATGAAGACACAGCACACACGGAAGGAACACTCAGCCTGCTGACAGGTTAGACAGTCTCACATGGACGGTAGGTCTCAGAACACAAACCCCTCAAAGTCCACCTGGCTACACATCATGACGGATTCTGGTGCTTTCCAACCTTCATGTCACGGGGGGGGGGGGGGGGGGGGGGGGGGGGGGGGGCTCTGGAGGCAGCCTAGTTTTGTTAGAGGCTCTACAGGAGGGAAGCTGATGGCGTATTTTAACACCGACCATTCAGAGTCTCTAAAGAATCTTAGTGTGTGCAAGCGTGCCAGGCATGCGTGTGGCGATCAGAGGACAGCTCACGGAGTCAGGCTCTCCTTCCACTATGATCTCCTTTCTCAGGGGTCCCCCAGGCTGGGCAGTTAAGTGCCTTTACCCGCTGAGGCAATTGTGGTAGTACGGATGAGCCCAGAGGATCCCCCGCTGTTGGAACTGTTTGCCACAGGGGTGGGTTCCACCATCCCCAGAGCGATGAGGATCCGAGCTCTCAACTGCTGCTCCCACGCCATGTCTGCCAATCTGCTGCCATCCTCCTGTCGGAATGGTGATGGACTCCTTCCCTCTGGAGTCATGAGTCCCAAATAAACCTTTCCTTTGAGAAGTTGCCTTGGTCACGGTGTTTATCACAACAGCAGAAAACTAAACTAAGCCTCCTGCCTCCACCTCCCAAGCACTGTGATTACAAGTTACAGCTCTAGCTCTATAAGTGACTTTTAACAATCCACATTTGGTGAACCCTGCTTTGCAATATGATTCCAAGACAACACCTTAGCTGCTTCCTTTCAACTGGGCCTGAGTTTGGCCAATCACTGATGTCATCTACCATTGCAAACACTGATTATGTGTGAGGTTCTGGGAGTGTAAGGAATATCAGGAACTTCTGCCCTTGAGCACATTATCACAGTGCCTGTGAGAGGCAGGACCCTGGCACCAGAACAGAGCCCAGGGGTCCGGATGGAAAAGTGCAATGCAAACACTCACCAGGGGAAGCCAGGGCAATGCAGCTTGTGTGCATTGTTTCCTGCCAAATAGGAGAAATGGAAGCCTCCAGGGTTGAGGACCAAGGGGGTCAGGTCGACCATGTGGCTGCAAGATAGGAAAGAAATAGGGTATTGGCATTGGGCCCACCCACCGCATCAGCATGCTTTTCTGTAACACAGGTCCAAGGGGCCCATCACAGTCCACACTCCCGAAATAAGCACAATCACCACCCAAAATTAAGAGGTTGAGACAAAATAACCATCAAGCCTGGCACTCAAGATGCTCCCCCCCCCCCAAGGCTTTTCCACCTCTTAGAAGTTGACGAAAGACTGTTCCAGTTTAATTTCACTTCAGACCTTGAAATATCCAGTTTCTCCATCTACAAGAAACAATCACAATCTCAGGGCAGAGTGGAAACTGCACTTTTCCACGCAGGAATCCCAGGGATGCAGAGAAGACGGTGGTGGGGAATTGAGGAAGCCCCACCCCCAAAGCAAGGGTTACCGGGAAGAAGAGGGCTGCTGGAGAAGGGGGACCTGAACTGAGACATGGGATAAACAGCAGCCCAAAGATGCAGATGGGGGCAGAGGAGGGATAACACCCCGAGAGACAGGGATGGGGATCAGATGTGAGTCAAGCCTATGGTTTTCCGCCTATTCTCAGGGGCATCCCAAGTACATGGCTCACGGAGGACAGGAGGAATGGAACTTTGTGCCATTCACCTCTGTAGTGGCCCTCAGCGAGGGAAGCCCCCTCTTATCTGTTTGACCTGCTGCTCGTGCATACCCAAAGCCTGTCTGAGAGAAGCCCCCTTCTGCAGAGATCTGAGAACCACTGCTGTGGGCAAGCCAGGAGAAGCCACCCTCCTAGCACTGGAGTAAAGCGTGTTCCCACTGACCGGCTTGCCAGACAGAGGAGGAAAGGGGCCAAAGACCCTGGGCATAGTATAGACAGGAGGTGATGCAGCCACTACAGAGGCCATGGTGGTGACAGGTAGCGGTGGCGGTGGCAATGGTGGTGGTAATGGAGCTGGTGGCAAGCATGGGGAGGTTGACCGGTCTCTGAAGATGACAGGATCTGCTGCTCTCTTGGGTTTCAGCCTCCTCCTCCTCCTCTTCTTGGCACCTGCATCAAATGGTGTAGTGAGTACTGACCCCCTGAGCAGTAGGACCCAAACACAGTAACACAAGGGTCATATATCTCTCCAGCAAAGGAAAGCCTTTTCGGGCCTATAACAGCAGCTGACAATCATCCTAAACTTGTGATATTCCTATCTCCTACCTCCAGGTTGCTGGGATTATATAAACACAAACAGTTTACGTGGTTCTTGGGATTAAATTCGCGACTTCACGTTTGCTAGGCAAACATTCTAACAGAGCCATACATCCGTCCTACTTACGTCTCTTACAGAGTCAGATGCCCTCTCTGACTATATTCAGGCAGATAACTGTATCTAGGCAGAATCCATGCTAAGATGTCTAACTTTAAAGGCACAATTTTGTTTTTTGGTTTTTTTTCTGGTGGGGGGGAGGTTTAGAGACAGGATTTCTCTGTAGTTTTAGAGCCTGTCTTAGAACTAGGCTGGCTTCAAATTCACAGAGATCTGCCTGCCTCTGCCTCCCGAATGCTGGGATTAAAGGCCTGCACCACCACCACCTGACTATGGGTACAATTTCGACAGGAATGTTAGAATGAACCAGGCCCTGTAGGGTATCCTGCTGCCTCCCAGGCAAGGCTTGTGAGTTTACCAACAGCAGCAAGGATGCCCAAGATACAGACAGTGAGCCCTCAGCCTACACCAGGCCTCATAGGCATGTACGGATGGAAAAGGAAACCCATAGTGAGGTCTTGGCAGGGTGGAATAACTGGAAGGACCCTGAGCCAAGCCCTGCTCTACTCAGGCCTATTGATAGCTCTGAATGAGCCTCGGGAATGCATCTGAGTGTTAAAGCACACTTCATACAGCCCATCAGAAGGGTTCATTAGCTGGATATGGTGGTGTATGCCTGTAATCCCAAAAATCAGGAGATAGAGGCAGGGGATCAGAAGTTCAAAGTTAATCTCAGCTACACATCAAGTTTAAGGTCAGCCAGGGATATGTGAGGCCCAACAAGCTGGCTCAGCAAGGAAAGGTGCTTGCCACCAAGCCTGATAACCTGAGTTGTGGTAGAGAGAATTAAATCCTTGCAAGATGTCCTCAGCCACCCACATATACACCATGGAAAGTGAGTGTGCGTGCACACACACAGTAAATAAACGTTAACAGAAAGGCTGAAGAGATGGTCCAGTGGTTAAGAGCCCTTGCAGAAGACCTGTGTTCAGATCCCAGCACCCATGTCAGGTGGCTCACAACAACCAGAAACTCCAGCTGCAGGGAATCTAATGCCCTCTTCTGGCTTCTACAGATATCTGTACAAGTACATGGGATACAGGCATACACATATGCATGAGTGCACATGCATGCACGTGTGCGCGCACACACATACATAATGCATTAAAAATGCTTAAATTTTTAAAATAAATGTTAATAGAGAAATAATAAAGGGGGTTAAGGAACTGACTCAGCTGGTAACGTACCTACATCAGAAGCATAAGATCTGAGTTCAAAGCCTGATGGTGCATACTTTTAATCCCAGCACTCAGGAGGCAGAGGTAGGCATATCTCTGAGTTCAAGGCCAACCTGGTCTACAGAGTGAGCTCCAGGACAGCCAAGGCTACAAATGAAACCCTGTCTCAAAAAAGATGAAAAAAAGAAAGAAAGAAAGAAAGAAAGAAAGGAAGAAAGAAAGAAAGAAAGAAAGAAAGAAAAAAATCTGAGTTCAGATTCCACTGCCTACAGAAAACGTAGGGCAGGGTAGGGCAGCACACAGCTGTAATCCCAGCACTCTGGGGGTGGATAGAGACAGAAGCCTGAAGCTCGCTGGCCAGTCAGCCTACCCAAATCAATAAGCTTCAGGTTCCGCGAGAGACCTCGTGTCCAAATACAAAAGTGGAGAACGAGAGCAGAGGGCCAGATGTGCTGGTGCCGTCTTTAGTTCCAGGCAGGGCTGGTCTACACAATGAGTTCCAGAGCTAGTCAGAGCTGCAGAGTGAGACCCTGTCTAAAAAATAATAAATTAAAAAAAAAAAAAAAAAGAAAAGAAAGAGAAAGGGGCCAGCAAGATGGTTCACTGGGCAAGAGTACTTGCTATGTAAGCCTAACAACCTGAATTAAATCTCCAGATTCTACAGTGGAATAACTGATTCCTGCAAGTTAACCTCTGACCTCTACGTGTGTGCCTTACACACACACACACACATACTCATGTGTGTATATAGACACATACAACAATAATACTTTGTTTTAGAGCCAGGTGTGGTGGTTTTTCTCCCTTTCTGTTCCCGGTCCTCCTTCCTGCTCTTCACTAAACATGATCTGAGAGGGGTAAGTGCAACCTGGAGAGGGGAGGTGGGCACTACTGATGTCACCAACCTGGGCTTCACATATACTGCAATGTTGATGGTAATTGAAATGGGAACAGTGGCCCTGGGCTCTGATTACCAAGGGCTCACACCTTCAGTAGTTGATCCTCACCCCGGGAATACAGGTGTACACGGTGGATGCGCCACTTCAGCTGCTCCAGGCGCTGATGCATCTCCAGGGCACCCATGCTGTTGCACTGGTTCAGTTCCCCCTGGACAGCACAGACAAACTTCGCCTGCAATAGCGATTGCGGAAAGGCGGAAAGCCAGAAGAGTCGCTTGCCTGCTTTATCCCCAGTTGGCATCCTTGGCGTCAAAAAAGACCCTTCCGGCTGCCCCAAGCCTCCCACATATCCCGCTAGGTGACCTCCCCATCCATTCCTACGCCAAAACCCCACCCTCAAAGATCCTCCCTAAGAAACTGCAGGTGGGCCTTCCGCACCCAGAGGCCGGAGAGGAGTCCGCTCTGTTCCATCTCTGTCTGCTTGCCCTTGCGAACGACCCTCTCCGCCAGCGCTGGATTGCGGTCCAAGGCGCGGAAGAGGCGGCGCAGCGCGCGCTCCGTGTAGGTAGCAGCTTGCCTCTCGAAGTCCTCCTCGGAGATGAGTTGGCAGAAGGTCACACTCTGGGGGAATTCGTTGTCGTACTCGTCCAGGACTTCCATCGAGAGGGACTACTGGAGGTAGGCTGGTGCTGTCTGAGGGCGGAGCAGCAGTCAGGGCAGAGCTCCTGGGGCAAAGGGACCCTCCCAAGGGCTAGAACCAAGGTCCCGAAAGTGACAAGAGCCCACGGGGCCGTGACTACAGGATGTACCCACTCTCCCTACAGCCGCAGTGCAGGCTCCAGTTCCCCAGACTACCCGCCCCCTTCCCAGTCCGCCCTAGAATCAGGGGGCGGGGCCAGCGCCAGTACACGTGACAATGCCCACCTTCCCAAGCATGCGCACTAGTGTGCTCTCCCTCCCCAAGCCTCCTGACCACCCAGGAGGTACCTTGGGGATTTTACTCTCCTTCTGAGCCATGGTCCTCTCCCAGTTTTTTGTTCCCGCCCGACCCTGCCATACCAGTCTGCCCTGGCAATTGAATCTGGCTTCCAGTTCACCGAGGCAATATCCAAAAGGACTTCCTTCTGCCCTCAAAGCGCTTTAACATTGGCTTTGCACCCTCTCAGTTTCCTGTCCTACTCTGCAGCTTTTACACACGTTCCCCTCCGGATCATGTCCTGATCGCTCCTTCATGACCACTTCTTTTTTTGTTTTGTTTTGTTTTTGTTTTTCGAGACAGAGTTTCTCTGTGGTTTTGGAACCTGTCCTGGAACTAGCTCTTGTAGACCAGGCTGGTTTCGAACTCACAGAGATCCGCCTGCCTCTGCCTGCCAAGTGCTGGGATTAAAGGCGTGCGCCACCACCTCCCGGCCTGACCACTTCTTTTTTTGTTGTTTTGTGTTTTTGTGTAGTTCTGGTTACACGGGGAAATCATTGTAGACCAGACTGATCTCAACCTCTGAGTGTCTCTGCCTCCCGAATGATGGGATTAAAGGTGTATGACAGCATGCCCCATTCAAGACCACTTTGCCCTGTCTTGATGCCCTCCTAGCCCCTGTGCTATATTTCTGAAAGTTTTCTTCACCTGCCTCTTGACAGCCAACCTAAAACCTCCGAGGTCCAGCCCTCCCTAAGCACCAGGCCCACACCCGAGATATGTACAAGTAAGGACTCATTGGCATCTCAGCAAGGATGCTTTCGTGCTTGCACGAAAAGCTGCTGGTGTGCATCTATCATGGCCACTAGGGAGGATGGATGCCAGCTACTACTTCATGATCAAAGCCCTCCATCAGGCCTGAGACCCATATATGCATCAGAGCAGTTCCCCTACGGGTGCCAGGACGTGGACAGCTAGAGTAGGATTGTCAAGCCAGGGTGAAGGCTACTCCCCAAAGCCAGTCTAAAGTCTGGGCCTCCTTTCAAGGAGATGGGCCTGACCAGCTCTCACTGGATTTATTTTGGGGGGCAGGGGCATTGGAACAGAAGCTCACCATGTAACTCTGGCTGTCCTGAAATTAGAGATGTAGACAGTCTTGTCTTCAAATTCACAAAGATCCACCTACCCATGTTTTCCCAATGCGGACTTCAAAGGCATGGGCCTCCACACCCAGCTTTTCACTGGGCCTTGTTGGTAAAAGTAACCCTGTAAGCAAATTCCGGGAAAGGCTTCCTTAAAAGTTTGGCTTCAGCCCTGCCTGGAGAGCAGACATGCTGGACACCTCACTGTCTGTCCTGTTCAGGATATACCCTCCTGTAAAAGAGCAAGCAGCATGGTGAGCAAGTGTCCTCTGCAGGCTTCCCATGGCCAAGTCTATTCATCCATCCCAGGCATCCTGATAAGCCCCGAGACCCAACATAATGGCCCTGGTGTGCACCTTCTCATGCCTCCTCCCAAACACCACTCAGAATAGTCTCTCTTCACCTTGTTATCTTCAGGAATTCAGGAAGGCTGAGTGCTGTTCTTCCCGGTGTAGCCAAAGCTGAGTAAGGCACAGAAGCCATTTCCATACAAAGAGGTGAACATCTGTTTCTCCTCAAGCTCCTAGAGCCCAGAATTTTTATTTATTTATTAGTTCTTGAGAGAGCATTACATCATAGACCAGGCTAGCCTCAAATCTGAAGCAATGTTCTTTTTTTTTTTTTTTTTTTTTCGAAACAGGGTTTCTCTGTGGCTTTGGAGCCTGTCCTGGAACTAGCTCTGTAGACCAGGCTGGTCTGGAACTCACAGAGATCCGCCTGCCTCTGCCTCCCGAGTGCTGGGATTAAAGGCGTGCGCCACCACCACCCGGCTGAAGCAATATTCTTGCCTCGGCCTCCAGACATGAGCCACCACACCTAGCATGGACTCCCTAATCTTAACCTGGGGAACCAAGAGCTTGAAACCAGAGCCTTTTCAAATCCGGGATCTCATCTTTGTACTGGTTCCAGCCTTGGGGTATGCTCCCCAGAATCCGCCTTTTTCTCTCAGCTAGGGAGTCTCATCCAACCCTGCCCCAGGAATCCAAGCACTCCCTTTGGGTCCCTCAAGCTTCTCAGCTGGGGAGAGAGTAGCGTGGGTGACAGGCAGAGCCCGACAAACGCCCTTTCGTCATTGCACTGCTCCCCAGAGGTCCACAGTAGTGCAACAGGGAAAGAGTGTCCAGCAAGCCTGTGGGCCTCTCCGGTGGGGGTGGGGTGGGATCTTAGACCTAGAAGGCCGGCCTACCTGGGCGGGGCCTCTGACCCCAGAGACACAGGCCTGGCTAGAATCTCAAGTTTCCATGGAGAACAGAGTAAAACGAGCGGGGGGGGGGGGGGGGGGGGG